AATTTAGCATAAGGAATATGTAAAACAAAATGTACAATGAAATAATTAAAGACAGTTCAGAGAAATTACTAATCAAGAATCATTAGATGTCGTTTATTCTACTAAAAAAAAATATATGTCTAGCCTTACTTTGTTTATTGTTAAAAGACCAACAACACGTTGGTAATCACGTAACAGGAATTTAATGTTTATTTTTCTTCGTTATTCTTAAATACAGAAATGTCCCTGCAAATAAAAAAAATGGTTTCACAAAAATCCAACTTGATTGGATTTTATTTCGGCTTCACGATACAAAGCCACCTAATTTTGTATTTTATTATTTTTTGTTATATTGTTATGTTCTTTTATTCTTATGTACGTATTCCATGTTTTTTATACCTCGTTATTTAAGAACCCAGGAGTTATATACTATGATAAATTTTACGTTTTTGCTTATGTCTAGCTAATTGACATCTATTATGTTAGTTAGTTTTAGTTTATAATTAACTGCTAACTGTTATGTTTTCGATTCGATTTCCAGATTTAAAACTTAATAATTAAAATGTCTATCATCAATCTGCCCTTATCCCTATCGAGGGTCGGCACAGCATTTACTACTCCTCCATACATCTCTATCAGCCGTCATATCCGAGTCTACCCCCTTCTTACGCTTATCCTCTTTCACACAGTCATTCCATACTTTTTTTGGTCTTCCTCTACCCTTGTAGCCATCCACATTCAATCTCATATAATAATTTAAATGTCTATATTCTATCAAAATCCATCCCTCCAAAAGCCTTCAAATTCTATTACAATTCTTTTCAACTTAGGAACGTCTTCAGCTACTCGAGTCGTTGTTGAGAGCTATCTACTTTGAGAGGATATCTTACTTTGATAACCTTGTTACTGTAGGAAATAATGCTAGTTGAAGAATTGTCGGATGGTTCGTAGTATGAGTGGCGTACTATGTAATACGAATTATATTTTATTGGAAAAATTAATATTTATTACATTGATATGTTAAATATGAACTGGTACGCTTGAAAAATATAAATGAATCAGTGGGTGCTGTTCTTTTGTTTGGAAATACAAGATGGATTTGTGATTGAAATTACTGTAATATAGTTTGTAGTGACTCGATTTCTTGAAATAACATTCGTTCTATCTAACCGTGGGCTTACGAAGCTAATATCCCCGTTTAAACGTATAACCTCTGTTTAGTTAAAGATAATGACAGGGAAGACGATATGTTTTATACAGAGATTTATATCTCAGAAACTCACTGTAAGAGTTTCTTAGGTATTTGAAGATTTGAACGGCTTGAGTCAGATATAAATAAGAAATTATTTTCTATTTGATGGAGTGAAATTAAAAAGTAAGCAAAGATTTTTGTAGCTAACATTAAAATTTAAGTTGACCCCGACATTTTTCTAAATAACTCGATTAAAATAAATTCAAACAAAGGGAGCGTGCTACAAAGTTATTCTCGGGGATTAACTTTAAATGGTATTTGTAAAGAGGCCGCCTCTGTGCCAGCTCATATTCAAAGGAATATTTTATAGCAATTTGCACATACAGGATTTGTTCGTTAGCTTTGAAGACGATTTAGTTTTATTTGTTCCTAATATTTAAACCTTTAGACTCATATGTTGGTAATTTAAAATAAAAAATATACATAATTATGGTACTTAGCAACGTAAGAGTGATAGGAATACGAACAAGGCGTGGGAGATCATTTATTTTATTGGAACAGGTATTGGGGGACGTTTATATATATATATTTTTATTACTCGTATGATGGTAGCAAACGAGCGAGCGGCCACCTGAAATCGCTGAAATATTATATGAAAACATCATTGCTTCAAATCAGTTTTATTCAGAAATGATGACAACGTTGTCATGTGTAGTCTATATAAAAAGGTGAGAGAGAGACCAAAAGAGGAAGTAATGACTGTAACATATTACAGACGAAATGCATATCTAATTATTTTAAGTAAAAAGCATACACCAATTGCTTGAAGTAGTCCATTTATGCTGATCCTAAGAATTTCTATATTTTATCAATAAATGTTTGTGAATTATTGATATAATAATATCGGTCACAACAGGAAATAAATGATCGCGACAAAAAAATTCAATATCCGTTTGTTGCCTCAAATCTTTCCTCAATCTCACTATCGTTAACTTCGTTGTCCATATGAAGTAGGGTTGGATATTTATTTTAACATTTATATCGAAAATATTTTCGTAAAGAATATTTTTTCAATTGACTACAGATAATTCTTTTTAAAACTCGATGGGTAAAGGGCTTAATTTTTAATTCAAAACACCAAAGAGGTTGCCATTAATCTATCAAAAAATCATTTTCATAATTTATAATGATATTAGCTTGCTCTTTTCTCTACAGTTGGTCTTCATAGTATTTTCTACTCTTACATACATCTCTACCAACTGTCATATCTGAATTCACTCCCTTCTTCATAAATTATAAAGTCTTTTATATTTTTCAAATTGCGTTGTACTTAAAGATGTTTCTGGTAAGCCTGATATTAATACTTCCCAAATATTGCTGTTACAAAACTTTTTGTCGCAGAAGTGCTTTCTCGAGGCTTCGTTGGAAATAATCGGGCAATAAATAGAGTATTTATGTCGGTTTTATGAGGACGATAACAAGCAGGACGGTTTGATACTTCGCTGAGACGTCAATATTTTGTTGACTAAGACCACAAATTATGAAAACTGCACGAAGTACGTTACATACATCTCATCAAATTAAATATTAATATATTTTATTATTTAAAGTTAATATTAAATGAATAATTATTAGCAGCAGTTTCTGGTAATGCGAAATAAGTGAAGAAATTGCTGATGAAAAAAAACACAGGTCTCTCATACTCATCTTGTCATACTTAAGACAAATTCCAATACTACTAAACAAAGATTCTAATTTTAGAACCACGTTTTTCCTTAAAATAAAATTATCAATGATTGAGTGAAATTGGAAAAAAAACCGTCTTTATTAAAATCTCATTTGTATACAAATCCAATGAATGTCGTCAGTTCTTCAATATTATTTCCTTTCGATTTGAATTTATCGGAAGCGAACACTCATCATGAGAATTCTAAATCCGACAAATTGCCTTTAAATATTTAAAAAGTAAGAATTCAATCTTTTTTAATATATTTATCACAACAACCAGTTGGATATTTTTTATTTTTATGTCTCTAAAGGTTGTTTTTTTTTACTTTTATTAAAAAAAAAACGAAATAAATATTTTAATCAATTTTCTTTAAAAATTATAATTTACCACTAAAAGTACATTATTTTTCTAAGAGGAAGGGGCAAACCGGGAGCGGGATAACCGAGGTGTTCGTCGACGCCAATGGATGTCATACCAGAGGAACCGCATATGCGATGCCAGGCTTTGAAATGATGATACATCTTGGCTTAATCTAAATAATCAAATCAGTAACCCGTCTTACTGCTCAAAATATTTTTTGTGACTGAATAGTCACTGTTTGCCTTGAAGAGACATTTACAGCTTTACCGGGCTTGAGGTGGCCGAGCGTAGATGGCGCTTAGCCTGAACCTCGTTTAAGAGTAACAAGACTCGAGAGCTCCCTCAGGAGCCTTGGCCCGGGCTGTTACTTCGTTATAGTTACCGGATTGGGAGGTCACCGAGCTCTTTTTCAAAATGTGTCGAAGCCGTTTAGCTTACTAGACTTTACATTATCCTCCCAGTCGCGCATTTGATCTTCAATTAGCCAATTCCCTCAAATTAATCAAATAACATCAGGATAATAAAAGTGGAATAGCAAAGAGTCAAACGGCGCCGGTTTCCTAAATTATGCAGAATAATTTAGCACACGAGTCAAGTCTATTCATATTCATGGCGAAAAACGTTTTAATTAAAATTGCCTTAACGTAAACTTTCTCGTATTTTTCCAACGAAATTAAAAACGTAGCTTCTTTTTGTACTTGTGATTGCAATAACACTGCCGTATGCTCGTTTATTTTCATTTAAGTGGATCCTCACTAATTAATATGTGGATAGAAAAAACATTTTTAATGCAAAATATAACCTCGCAACTTAAAAATATCTTGTGAATATATATTTAGTTTGTTACTAGCTGTCGCTCGCGACTCCGACCGCGCGTAATTAAAAATAAAACTTACTATGTAATCTCTGAGTTCTTTCTGGCTATGTTCTACATCTATGCCAAATTTCAGCGAGATACGTTGTGCCGTTCCGGAAATACTTGCAAACAAACATCCTTCCATCCATCCATTCAAACATTCGCTTTTATAACTTTATTAAGATTGGCTTGAACGTGGATTAACACAAAAGTAGATGAAGAGTGAGCAAGCTGAATGGATTGTTTGATCAAGGATGTGCAAAGAAGGGAGTAAATTCATACATGACGTCTGATAGAAATTAGAGATATCTGCAAGAGTAGTACATATTGTGCCAACTCTCCGTAGGCAGGGCAGGAAGGTGGTGTAGACATAGGATAACATTTATTAAATGTTTTTAACATCATGATGGACAATTATTTACATCAATGAGCCTCATTTTGTGTCAACATGTTGCGCCTATGCGGTGTTAGTTTGTGGTCATGACCACTAATTTGCCGCTTGTGTAACACGAGGTGAGGGGTAAGGGTTGAAGTGAGCGGAGGGATAGTTAGTTAGCCAGGCATACGTCTTTGGTTAGGAAGGTGTTTGAGGTATTTTTTATATAAATGACAATGTAAATTGAAGTGTTTAATTTATCATCGTTTTAGTTTTTTATTTATTGGTGTAGGGTTGTCCAAAACAAATGCTACTGTCGTTTTCCCTTCCCGATATTCTGGTTAAAAAAACATATACTTCTTTACACGTAATGTTTTTTAAAGTGTTAGCTATAATATTTCTTTGTAAATGTTTTCTGGCTGTGCAAACCCTAGATTAGAAAAAAGTTGTCTTGACGTAAATTATTATTAGTCGAAGTAATCGTAAAACTAAAAATTGTCTTTTATTATTTTATAATTAACATCGAAGATATAACTGGCATAAAACCTTGTGTAAAGTTTTAATTTATTTTTATAAAACAAAAACTGAACTATGGAAGTTAACATTTTTGGTTTGTTTCATAAAACAATATGTTCTCCACATTCTGTGTCAAATAATCACACTGAAAATGAACAATAGAGATTTTAATTTGCCGCTTATATTGTTGGCAACATATTTTCCATTTATATTCCATGTTCTCGTTAGCCTCGGAAACAATATGTAAATATAAAAATGTTAAATATCTTAGACAATGATTATGAATACCGTTAACAAGCTTTGGCTTCGCACGGATACAGTAAATTAATATTAAAATGCTTGAGTATTTTATACAGGTACACTGTAACCTACATATTTAAATCTAACTCAAAGAGATAATCAAATTTTGTTCATCTTCTATAAGCAGACTAGATATTGCTCGCAACTCCGATCGCGCGGAATTAACAAAAAAACATAATAAGTAGCCTATGAGTTCTTCCAGACTATGTTCTATATGTATACCAAATTTAATCGAGATCCGGTCAGCCGTTCTGGAGCTACCTTCAAACAAACACCCGTCCATCTATTCATCTAAACATTCGCATTTCTAACATTACTAAGATAAGATAAATCCAACGCATACCGTTTTGGATTTATTAATATGGGAATAGATTTATTAATGGCCACTTTAGTCTGCCACTTGAAATTTATAAAAAAAATTGAAACCTTTTAAAAGAAAATTTGCTACAACAATAATTGCAGCTAAAATAAACGCAGCGTGAAACACAATTCCATGCTCACGTTACGCTAGGTTTCATTCAATTTCCTTTGCTCCTGCGAGCGCACGTCAAATTTTATCAGAAATGGAATTAAGAATTATTAAACTTGGTTCAGCGAAAATGTAATTTTGGTAAATCGATGATTTGAGAAATTTATGGTTCGCCGAAAACTCTTTATGTAATTTAGCAAATCTCACAATTTACAATTTGCTCTTTAAAATATTAAATGTGATATTTTATGATTTATGGGTTAAAATTACCTCGGAAGAGAATAGTGAAGCTCCGTAAACCTATCTCTGGAACCAAAACCAAACACTGATTTAAGTATTATCTATGGAAATAAGTACACAGATAGCATAAAGTTATTTTACTGAATTCATAAATTTAAAGTCTGTAATTGCATTTATAACATTTTGACGTTTTACCTTCGGAAGTAAAGCCATGACTTTGTATTCACATTCGTTCTGGTCATAAATTCTTAAATTGCTAACGTTAATTGTACAGTAAAAATTATCCGTTTCCTTCGAATGTTATTGCTTTTAAGGAAAAATGGAATTTAAATCGTAATTTCAATTTCATTACGTTACTATTTCAAATGAAACTCTTTCAGTTGATTTTTTTGAGTTTTAATTTAGTTTTAACAAGCGGAGAAGATGTTTCGTTGTTAAGATACCCGATGAGGAGGGAAGTTCTAAAAACTTTCGTCGACGCTTTTCTACCAGGAAGTAGCGGCCGACCTGAACGGGGTAAAATGAATTTTACTAATATTATTAACTTATTAACCTCTCTTACTATTATATAAAAACTAAGACGGTATCCTCTTTTAAAAATATGTATGTACAATTTCATGACAATCACTTGGCCATATTTTTTTTTATTTCATCCGGTCGGAAACCAAATTGCAAATAAACAATAACCAATTCTATCACCTTGTGCTGAAACTTTTAATCTTTTGGTTAGTTTGCACTTTAATTCAGACTATGAGCAGCTAAGATTATACTTGTTTGTTCCTTACGATTAGACTATTCTAGTGCTTATTAATTCTTCAAAGTTTGCCGGTCACTTGGAAAATCTGCTCTAGTGAGAGACGAAATAATTCATCCGACTACTTTATCATCATCGGTTTCCTAATACCCCTAATTGTTTTCTTTTTGTCAAGGCAATCCACATTCGACATGTTGGGTTCGTGGTGGAATTTGCGTCAAAGTCCGTCACTGCCCTCTAATGAACCTGGACTCTACTGTCCCCGGCTGCAACAAAAACTGGCGTGTTTGCTGTCGAGTTCAGTCAATGCTGTCGCCCACTGTTGGTGTCGCGAGATCTGAACAGCTCCTGTATGAAGTACACTTACGAGACGTAGACAGCCCGCTAATGGAAACTTTAGCTATAAACAATAAAAATATCTTTGAAAATTTATTAGAGTAAATTCTAGACAGATGTGATGAGGATAGTAAATACAAAAAATACTAAACTCATGTAACTTATACGTATACTAAATAAAAAAATCGCAGACAAATATTTCATGTGATATCAGCTCGTAATTATGTATTTCATTATTGTATTGGAATGGCATTAGCAATAAGATTTGATGGTATATACGTGGGATCGAAAAAAAAATAAAACAAAATACTAACTTATAACTAGAATATCTCTTTAATTAATTGAACATTTTCCAATGCTCAGTTATTTAATTAATTCTTAGTTACATTTCACTATTTACAAAGTATCCATCACATAAATAAATGGAAACTCAAAATATTAAACATTTTTGCTTGATTAGTTGTAATTAAAAATTCTTTGAAAGACGTTGTTTCTGTGATTAAATGAAATACTGTTATAAATTTCCAACAATTTCTGACTTTAATGTCAAGATGTTTAATTAACTTTCAGTCAGGAATTAAATATATAAAATGATTTGAGCACCTCTCAGAAACTACACTTAGCTCCGTCTTAAATCTTTTATTCTTTAGATTAACGTCGTATTCCTGCTTCAGCTACATCGACTTTATTCTACAACGTAATACAAATAATTAACTTTTAAGAATCAGTTTCTTTTACTACCGTAACTTTTTGAGAACAAAAAATTATTTAAAAAAATTGTTGGAGTTTGTAATCTGCTGACATGTGCACTGGCTGGTTTTAGTTTATGAAAAAAGGTGTACATCTGTCATACGTAAAATATTTTTCATTGTCTTTCATAAATACATTTTCCCAAGTAAACTTGTATTATTCATCAAAAATTAACGGCTAAAATAAAAATTTGGTCATCTGAAAAAATGATCGGAAGTAAATTAGGCAAAAGATTTACAGCAGATATCAACTTACCTTCATAGTTAATGATTCAATATAGTAGTTCTATCTCTTTGTTATAATCCAGCTTCAAGACAGCTTTATAGGCATTATCAAATAAGATTTATGTGAACATATATTGAACATGTTGACCATTAACTGCAGAAGTGACATCTATTAATTAACTTATTATGAAAGAAATGGAGAGTATGTGTAAAAGAGAAACAGATAGAGAAGGACGGAGAGAGAATAGAAAATTATATAGATCGTAATAAGTCCGATGAGGGTTGTTCTAATTTCCATTAGATACACTATAGGTATAAAATATTCTTTGATAAATTCAAGTGTATAGAGCGGTCTCTCACAAGGTAACAAGGAAAAAGACAAGTCAATTACATTTTCTCGGAATTGCGCCTCTCGAATCGGAATAGGCCAATTAAGGAGCAATTCATTTAATAGACGGCCGTATCTCACCTGTTACTTAATTCTAACTTATACTAAATAACATGAAGGGCTTGTTTTTAGTAAAGGATCTTGAATAGAGTCAATAGTACTCAGGGTTTCCACTGCAGAATCACTCTTAAAAATAGTTGTGAAAATCTATGTTTACAACTAAATTATATATGATGTATTATACATACATATACGTGTGTATGTCTTTTGTGCTATATTTAAACTTTTTTTACTTAAAACTTTTATTGTAAACTTGATTGAAAATATCTATACCTATGTTTCGATATCAGTATTTATATAGCGTGGTTAATTACATATCTAATATCTACTAGTATCTACTACATATTAATAAAATATTCGAATAAACTCCTTGCAGTAAATAGATAACAAACTTTCCGAGCATCCATTATAGTTATGTTGCCGAGCTTTCGAACTGTAAGTGAGACGCCTTATCATTTAGCCGGCCCCCTGACGTGCTGCCTTCACAACATGAAACTTAGTTATATCATGACTATTATTGAAGTTTAATATAATTATTACAAATATACTATGTCAATTTAATAATGCAAAACTTTACTTTTTTAACCTATTTCGAATAGGAGGAGGTTCTTAATTCGTCTGTACGTTTTATATTCGTCGATAAATGCGTCCCTAAAAGCCCCTAAAAAGACACCCGTCATTTTGACTTTCTGACAGCAAAATGCTATGTTCTCATTGTTAATTTCTGTAAGTTTATTCACTCGTTTTCATATTTTCTGTCAAACGCAGTGTCCTTGAGTGGTGTCTCTTAGTGTAGATTTATTATGATAAATCGACACCTAGTATCCAATTAACGACCGTGGCACTTAGAGTTAGGTGTGTTAAAATATCTAATTAGTTGGTTATGAGGGAATCAGTATTCACGCGACGATCTGTCCCAAGGGTGTAATGTTATTAGCACAGAGTTTACATTATGTTTAATAATTTGGTACGTTATGGAATAACAATGAGTAGCGTGAATCAATATTATTTCATGTTTTAAAAAGTTAAGAAATAAAAAAAATAATAATAATAGAAGATAGTAGGTACAAGACAATATTTCGACGCGATCTGAACGTCTGGTATTCAAGGAATGTTTAAGATTTTAATATTTAATTATGAAGATATTAAATTATAAGGAGAAATTTTGTCATTTTAACTTTTTCTCCAAAAATTAAAACATATTACATATATATCTATAAGTATAAAAAAACAATTGTTGTTCGTTAGTCTCGCTAAAACTCGAAAACGGCTTTCCGAAATTATTTTATTTTGGTCTTGAAATGTTCGTGAAGGTCTAGGAAAGGTTTAAGAGGTGAGAAAAATTCCACGCGGACGGACTCGCGGGCGACAGCTAGTATATTATACAAATACGGGCTAAGCTATAATGTTATTTAATGAAAACATTTGCCATCCAGATTTTATATGAATTTACAAAATCCATTGGATTGAATCAACTGAAAATGTTGTCATAATTTTCATAGGAAGCAATCAACGTTCAGCATCAAACATAATGAAATTATAATTAGTTGTGATGATTTTAGCCCGATTATTGAATAATTTTATCGGAACAATTTACATTTCAGGCAATCTATATGTTTGACCGATGTTGTTTGGGGTGCCATCCGATTCACTTTCTTTCCTAGAGCCATGAGAGTATTTAGAGGCAACGGCAACGGCAACCGTTTTTTATGTCTTAAATTACTTCGGAAATCTATTTTATTGACAATGAAAGATTATCTAAATTGAAAAAAAAAAGTACTGAATAAACAAGTAAGATTTGTATAGTACTATTCAAACTTTATAGCGGCTCGCAATTTCCAACGAGACGCTACGCAGAACATTTTAGGTATAGATAGAATGTCACATGTGAGAAATGGCATACTACGCACGAAGTTAAAGTTAGAATCTTGTAATAAAGGTTTATCGAAGTATACATACATTGAGCTAAAAATACTTATGCCCTCATAATGCGTATCGGAGTAAGTCACCACTAAAAGCTTTTAGAGCATTTAATATTCTAAAGCTTTACTGAACACACGTTAATATTTAAACAAAGCCGACCTTTAATAGCGAGTATTCCATTTCCTCTATATTTCACGACAACTCTGCTTATGTAGTAAATAATGTATAAACTACTCTATCATCCTATTTGTGCTACTGCATACTGCACGTAAATAGAAAACTATTTTTTTTTAAAACAGAAGGGGACAAACGAGCAGCGGGAACACCGAGGTGTTCAACGACGCCCATGGACATCAGCACTACCAGAGGAACCGCAGATGCGTTGCCGGCCTTTGAGATAATGATAAGCTCGCTTCTTGAAGGACCCTAAGTCGTAGCGGTTTGGAAATACCGCCGAGGACAGACCATCCACAACGCTCCTGTGCGAGGTAGGAAGTTTCGCGCAAACCGCACGGTTGTGGATTGCCAGCCAGGATTTTCCAGATATAAAATATATGTACATAAATATATGTACATGTATAAAATATATGCACATTGTTGAAATATTGATAAACATACAAATAAAGTATTCCTAGCAAAAAGTGACTTTTATAGAAAATTAAAGCAGTAATATAATACAGTTTTTTTTTACGTTAAACAAGAATTTAATAAAATATCATGACATATAACATGAAAGTTAGATATATTATAGGACAATATTGTTATGTAAAGTATTACTTAATAAAATAAGGAAATTCTAAGTGATTCGCACACCATTACT